TAGGCGACACAGGCAAGGAAAAACTTCCTTTTAACAGGCAGAAACCTGGAGCAGAACCATGGCTCAGGGTGGGCGGCCATCTGCCATCTCCACATGTCTAGTCGAATCCAGTCGATCCCTTCATAAAGCTAAAGCCACTTATCGAATTATAGAAATGAGGAACTATCCCTGCTATCTTCCAGCTCTGAATCCTGGCTGACAAAGAGTCTGAGAGATGCGTTCCTCCAACAATCTACATTTCGGGAGCTTCTTCACCCATAAAATTTTCTATCTGAGATAAATGATCCCTGGAATCCGGCCCACTTTTGTCACTCTGAACTATCACTATCATCTTTAGAGTCTCTCTGATCCAACATCAACAATAGCTTCTTTTGAACCATCAACTTCTTTTAACCCTATAATGTCAAATGTGTCATATCTGATTTATACAGTTTCTGAAGTCTTTTGGATCTGAGACTTTCTGCATCATTCAGTGGTAAAAGCTTTGCTCAAACCCCTGTTGTACACATTCAGATATACCTGATAACAGCCAGTAGAAGACTACACCATAATATATTTTTTACTTATTGCACGCTAATTTGATCAAAATAATTTGTTTTTTTTTCTTCATATGTTGTTGAGGGGCCAAAGAAAGACTTCAGACTAAAAACATCCAATATTCTTCCTATTTTTCTTGGACCAGGCTTTAAAGGGTTAAACAGAATCCCAATAGACTTTTAGGGATCTGTCTCTGTTGACAGGGTAGTTTTTTATACACCTTTCCTTGAAAAACCTTCTCTGGATCCTGGCATTTTATCCCATTTTGGGCCTATATGTTATGTCTAAAGTTTTGGGAAGAGTTTTTCAGCTTGGCTTTGTGATCCTTTTTTACAGAAATTTTTTGGGATTAAATGGGCTGCAACCACCTGGTTTAAGTCAGATTTATCTGCCAGAGTCCAGTTATTTCACAGTCATGGAGTTCCTCAGGGTTTTGTTCTTGGACCGGTTCTTTTCACTCTGTATCGGCTTCCATTGGGTAACATTATTAAAAAGCATTTAGACCATCTAGATTTAGACTTTTCCAGTCATTGGATTTTTATCCTGTGGGACTGAGAGTATCATAACCAGCTGTGTGACAGAACGGGTTGGCAGCTGCTCTGGTCCGTACTTAATCCAACTTAATCTACTTAATCCTCAAAATAATTAATCCTCACCCCATCTGTATTTATATCCCCTAACCCATTTTGCTTCATGGTAACCTTTGCTGTAGTTCCTGTGAATGGTCTTATCCATCTGTACGATCTATTTTTACCATCTCAGTTCACCGTTATGTATCTGTTTCCTCTGGAAATATGTCCAAATTAATGTTGACTTTTATTTAATCTAATATTGCCTAAATTAGGGACAGGTGATTGAATGCTATGTGCTGGTTTCCTTACATTGTTTTCTGTTATCTTATCTATTTAATTGCATGTGTTGTATTACAGTAAATTGGATGCTAATTAGTTTGAATTGTATCTTTGAACGGCCTCGAGATGACATTTTCTCGATTTGGTGTAATATAAAGCTACATTTGAAAGAAGTAACCGATGTGTAAGTTTCCTCTCTAGTTTCCGTTTGATATTTTGTTGAGAGAGGCCATTTCCACAACGTGACAACATTATTGGTTTCAAACCGGTTTCACACAGTGGGGAAAACACGCACCTGCGAAGATCCGCGTGGACGGCCAGACGTTTTCCCTTCATGGAAACTTTGGCGTTAAACTTTGTTTCCTGCAGGAGAAAAACGGGCGGTATTAGGTTTGGTAAGCAGGAATAACTTAAAGGGGACATATTATGCAAAACCAAGTTTTTAATAATTTGATTATGTACATTTGGGACTGTGGAGGGCCTATCAGCAGGCAAAGTGTGAAAATAAATTACTCAGTCATGTTTTTGTGGGCCGCCTCAGTCTGAATCCAGGAGATAAATCAGGAGGTTTCAGGAGTGGGTAGTTTCTGACGTCATTAGCTCTAGCTCATTATAATATTCCAGCCTTTCACCTGCATGTTGCCCCCCCCCC